TGTGAAATAACCAATCAGTTTTCTACTATTTCATCTTTCTTCTGTGAATTTCTGCCATAATAATGTTTACATGACTACAGTTTCGAGTGTTTGGAATGACTCACTGCAATAGAGGAAATGTACCTTCACACTAGAAAATAACTGAATAGACCGTCAAAATAATATCGATTACTGTATACACCAATAAATTTATTGCCTAGTATAATGATGCGATAAGGTCAAGGAGGAACAAAATGTGCTATACTACCTGCTTACAGTAAAGTTATTTCGAACATTTTGCATTCGATATGTAGCATTTTGTTTTATATCTTGGTTTTAAAACTAAATACAAAAGCCAGCGTAATAATCAAAACATCTCCTGCCACGAGATTGAGGGAGAACGCATAAAATCTACTGATTTCATAATTTGCTAGTAAACGAGACTACATTGAACAGTGTTGTGCACTACTGATGATTTGTAGCTAGATACACAAAAAGCTGTTGATCACTTTTCTTTAAGCTAACACGATTGATCTTTATCATGAAAAGGATAAATCTCCTTGTTTAATGAGGCGACGTCCTCTATGAAATATCATAGTTTGGAAACTTCTATGTAGTTAACATTTGGTCATATAATAACCGTTTTGTCTTCTCCAAAAGATAAACCATGAAGTTCAGAGAATACTAAACGATCATTATCTTCGTTTTCAGTTATAAATCTTTTCTACTGATCGGTAACATTTATTAAAATAAGATTTACAGATTTCAAGCAGAACTAAATTCGAAGAAATCAGAATTTGAAACCCTGTCTGAAATACCTTATGTAGTTAGTTTTAAGCCTAACGTGTGTTCATGTGTGAAAGAAGTACTGAATTATGAAATAATGACTAAATTTTACCGCAAGTGATTTTCGTCAAATGCACAACCACGCCTGCTGACTTGGATCCTCCATCCAACAATTATTGTAGTGATTTTTACGGTCTTATTTCTAAATTCACAAGCGGTTGTTTTATTCAGACCCGATCAGATATTCTGTACAGGCTGACATAAGATCGTGAGCATCTATAATCCAGTCTATAAATACCTTTCAAAATACTGACCATTGTCCCAGGTCTTCTAGCGGAACAATAAAGATTTAGCATAGTGAGACAGAAATTTTACATCTGGTACGATATCAGTCCCGTATTTAGTAGATGAAACATTTTTCGCATTGTGAACAAAATTCATCATATACTATTCCTCTAAATAACCAGTGGGCACTTATTTTCGTTCTATAACCTATCGCATATTTGTAGTTATTCATAGCCCAGAATTATGTGCAGTCTTATACATTGTCCTAATTCCTCTAATAAGCTGTATTTGCAAAGGAAATGTGGAATCTTTTCTAAAATGTTCGCAGCTAGAGTGTTCCTCACAAAAAAATATAACTTCGTTTTGGAGGTCATTCCAGATATCTCAATATTTGTCGCTCCTAGTTTGATAAACTGAAAAGAAAATTTAAAAAACTCAGACACTAACTATCGCTTTCCTATTGGTGGAGACCAAGTAAACAGGATTGTCACATATCCAACTAGCCGTTAGAGTTCAGATTTCTAAAAGTAATACAGTTTGTAGTTACTGCAGAAATCCTAAATTTCTCATGTACTTGTATGCCTACCAAGTTGGTATGCAAATTGTAGGAGTAATCGTCAACTGACAATTCACTTGATTGCGGCTAGCAGAAGAATCCACGGAGCATGAATCATTCTATTTCGGATTCACCAGCTGGATATGCATGGATCCCAGTGAGTGGTGTTGTTTCTACTGAGACCCGGACCCCGTATTAATCGCTTCAAACTCCAAGGCGTTATCTACTATGCCACTGAGACACGATAGCCATCTCATCATATCGTCAAATTATTGTAACTGTTATATCCATCTCTCGTGCCACTGGTTGAATTTACCTATTCACTAGACAGAACGTAATCATTCTTTGTCGCTTACCTTTCAGAAGCTTGTACTTTCACCCTCCTGAATCTGTGAAATATGTGAATTAGGGCTTGTGTGAACTACGAATTCCATTTCATAAGCTATACACCAGGCATTGAGGTTTACGCGATCTTAAAGTATGCATCAATATTACTGCACAGAATAAATAAAATTTGGCAATCCATACAACGTCCATTCACTTTTTATAGAGTTTTTCCTAGCAAAAGGATTTTACATCGAAAATGTCGAATTCCATATTCATGTTTTGAACAGAACATTATTAAGAAATACAAATCCACTTACTGAAAAATGATCCTAATTGATAAAGTAAAGCTTCTTACGGAACCTACTTAGAATCCGATAACTTTTCTCTGTTTAGTTGACAGTTAATTGATCACGAAGGGTAGTTCTATATTGCCAAAATTTAGAAGCTGAAAAGTATCTACTGATCAATCTGGTTAATTCATTCTTACGCTTATACCACAGTCTAGTAAAGTAAGTTCATTTTATGCACAGAAATTCTCTGACTAAAGTTTGTTTAAGTTATGGATTTTGTCCCTAAAAGCTATGCTACAATTCGGATACTCCCTTCGTCAAATATATCTTTCCTTAAATATCCACTTGTTTATATATTAACACAAAACTGACAAGTGTCTCTGATAATATGTATGCTAGATGTTGCCTATATGTCAGTATTTATCGAAATGTGATTTTACATAGGGGGTTTCAACAAAATATCTATAAGTAGATATAGCCAATGCAAAATTGACAGGGCATAATCTAGAAATGATTAAATTATAACTGAAGCATCAACATCTTTTTCGGTCATCTGATTTCATCATTTTCTCTTTCAAACTTTTCAAAAAATCTTTTCAGTGTTGAAATGAAATTTGTGTACACTTCAGTTATACAAGCAAATTAAAAACAATCATTATGTGCTTCGTTTTACCTTGGTGATTTGAAATAGTTTTTAGAGGTGACTAGATAATCCTGTAATGCTTAGGAACCAAAATCTAAGCTTACTAAGCAAAAGTAGACGCCTGCTTTTATTGCCTTAGTGACTACATCTGATCTGAGTATTTTACATATTTATACGAAGAAACGGTATAATAAATGCGTTTTTTGACTGTGATGTTTATACAACGCTTTAGTTTTTAGTGATTTATAGATGAACCAATAATTTTCTGATCGGCACGGTTTTTACAATAAGATTTAGGGTAAACTCAAAAGTTTATTTGTAGATTCACCAAAAGGACTAACTTTACAAGCACAGCTTACAGATGTAACAGTTGTTCTATAATTTTCACTGGGTCATTTTAAGTCATAGGTCAGCATCTAGACTGGTTTGGAGTACAGTTTTAACAAAATAATCTAGATGTTGATGTACAGATGAAGTCATGGAAAAGGGATACACAAAAGTGAATTTTTAAATCCTTCCAAAAAATATAAAACGTACACCTGTGTAAATGGCTTGGGAGATATCAGTTCTGAAGTTGAGAAAATCAAATAAGAAAGTGGTTAGCTTCAAACCTGAGAAAAGTTACCTTCATACTCTCAGGAAAAGCTGCAACCATTAAAATATAACGATCAACAGCAATATTTTGTTTAACTTCTGAAGTGTTGCAGTTACTTCATTAATTCAGTTTCCACTAAAATTTCTAACAGATTGGGGTGATTTATAGTGAATTATTCGATTTTCAACATAATAATTGGTGTAAGCAGATAGTATCTACACGAAACATTTTGCAACCATCCTTTTGAATGTAAACAAAACAATATAACTAAAGTTGATATGTAATTGATGCACTTGTCAACTGTCAAACCAACGTAGTTTATTTCTTACGTGACACATATTTCCATATTAGCGACTTCTTACTTACAAGTTACTACTGCTAAAGTAAGGCATAAATGACAACGGAGGTTTAAACTGGGGACTAACTTTGTGCTCAGCTGAACCCCTAGAGAATGCAAAAAGTACTATTAATTCATTGTATTCTCGGGAAAAAAGCACCTATAGCGAACTTAATAACATTGATGCGAAATAGCTAGCTGCGGAGTCCGGAACACACATTTTTCCCTATTTGAAACTCATGTATTAAATGTACCTTCATCCCAGTTGTAGAAATATTTTTCCCATTGAAATTTGAACCGAGAATCCATTGCATCTAATGTTAGCGCTACTAAGTCATGCTGTCCACTTTTTGTTTAAGGTGTGGGGTTCCACTCCTGTCGGTGAGGAGAAACAATGAGCAGTAACATGAAATTAGTAATATAATGGGACTGCGTTTATTGAACCGATGACAATGTAAGCACCCAAATATCGTAGTTGTTTAAAATCTGAAACGACCAAAAATTTACGATTCAAGTTTTTCCACTGAATAGAATGTTGATAAAGTTTTTAAGATATACTTAAATACATAAGTTTGTTATTCATAGTGAGAATTATGCACGTCAAAAATAAGCAGTGTTTTTAATGGGGTCTCCATACTGATCTATCCAAAGAAAACTGTTGATCGTCACCTTACTTGTAAAACTGTCATGTTAAATTGGTATAATAATGAATCAACTAAGCAGATGAAAGAAGACCTAAATAATTTAGGTCATCCTACCTTCATCTCCACTAATCAAGCTGCATGACTGAGATATTTTTGAAGTAACTTGATAAACTTCTTGACAAGTGCAGTGTTTTAGCTAGTCCATTCATTCTGTAATGATTTTCTCTGTCAAGGTTTCATTTCAGATGGACATTGGATGAACAATCCACGCAAAATAAGGAAGTATTATTCAAATGTACTTAATTTGAGACATCAACTATATAAATCTTAAATCTATCTTAGAAGCCAAGTCGCTTGCATGCAAAACTATTGCAATGAGCCCTTCGTTTCACTCATTAACCAGTCGTTGGGTAGTTACCTATGAATTTTTTACTGATTTAAGACAGTAATTCAAGTTTGTTAATTGTCACTTTTTGTCATTCAGATGTTTATTGAGAAAGCTTGAAGAAAACGTTTTATTCATTTTTGAGTTTCTTTTCATTTATTTGCGAATATCAGATGTCGGTAAATATGTCTAACACGATCAAGTCAAATCATGTTAATGATTTTGTGAGCAATCGAAATTCAAATCAGGCAACGTACAATGGAATTGGTCAAACAAATGGCTATGCTAACAAGCCGAATAATACTGTTGGACGTTATACTATCGTTTCGAAGTCGACAACAGTGAGAAATGGTGCGAATAAAGGATTCTACCACCCTGCAAGTCATTACTCTCAACTGGATACAACAAAACGTTCACATTCTCAACAAAGTGTAGGAAGAACCACTTCTACAGGATCTATGAATGTAAGTTATGCTCATTTCATAGCTAGTTTCTGAAGTAGGTAACTAAGATATAACGAAGTGCCTCGCTTACTTACTTCGTCAAGTTTTTACTTATGAATAAAACTCAACATTTAATTCAGTGTTCACTAAGATATGGGTGAAGTCATAGCTAAAGCTTCATTCTGGTCCACTGTCTAGGCCACTGTGCCACAAGTGATTTTGATTGAGCAATTATAAAACTGTATTGGAATATAGCTGTGTAGAATTGATGTGATTCTAACAGATCTAGACCACTCGTTTATGAGTTGTAGTAGATATCTAAATCATTGGTTAACTTGGGTGACTTAAAGAGAACACCATCTGGAGAATAAGATGACGTAATTGCGTTTCGTATGACTTCCATCGGCCGCATATAAAATGAATAAACAAGCAAATAGTCATTGTAATAAATATTAACATATCTTATACAGATCGTCTCAAAAGATTAAATAGTGTCTTAGAGATAAAAACAAACATTTTAACATGAAGTAATTTAAACTAATAGATTTCAGTCGGACTAGTGACTTTCTACATAAGATACTTCGGAGGACGAAATATACTGCTGAACAATTTGAGTAGTGAGAAGTCAACCACAGTGGTATGTAAATTTCCCTAGCCATGTCGATACCATAGTTGGACAAGTGGGAAACCATTCATCTATGAGAAATTTTAATGTAGACCTCGCAACTTGTTATTAATTTATAAGTTAATGATCCTACTTAAGGTGGGGAATATTCTTCTTTCAGTGGGAAAAGGTATTTGCAAAAAGATTATGTAATCACATGAAAAGAGCATAAGAAGGAAATAACAGATGAATGAGACAAGTTGTCTTAGCGATCATAAATGTAGTGATAATGAAACCAGTTAAAATGAATGTGTATCATGATGAGCGCATAATGCAAACACTAGAAATGTATGTCGGGTGATAGGGTCAGATGTTACTAATTACCATGTACTTGGTAAGTAATCCACTATGTCTTTTTAAAGCATAATTTTGGTCAAGTTCAGCAACTCGAAGTAGACCTGAATTTATTTATCTGTCAACTAGCTTGAAGAAATTCCATCTGTCGATCCAATGCCCTGTATAAAAACTGCTAAATGGGCTCAAGCATTTAAAGCGTAGGCGTTTAAGTACATATTCAACAATCTTAGTATACAACCGTTTAAGTTTCAGCTAGTGGGAACAGGCAACTAGTCATATTATGCTGGGGTATTTTAACTCACCATCTGATGCAGTGGGAAATTTTTCAGCTGTATAATTTTAAATAAACACCATCAACTTTACATTCCAAACTGATGACTATTGATTTCTTTTCTACAATGTTGCATTGCTTTCTTTCTCTAATTTTCGCGGTACTTCTGCAAGGCCTTCATAGGATAACCGTTTGTCTTATGATATTGTTCAATCAGTCTACATTTCTATTTCTATACATTCTTCAGAGCATAGTATTTCTGTTCTCTGACAAAGTACACTCAATATACTCCTTTATCAGCAAACGGAACATAATTTGCTAAAAATTCTGACTTGGCAACTCCAGTCAGTTTTCCTGGTAATTACTTCTTCTAATAATAACATCCTGTTTGTATTTAGCTGACGGTCATTTTTATATTCCAACCTGAATTCAACATTGGATGCATAATACTGAACCTCTGAAGAACCAGTATTGTTTGTTGGACATTGTTATACACAACAAACTTATTTCCAACCTACCTCAAATGAAACACTTGCTTTGATTGCAAACTTCAGGGTATTACTTTCTGTGTGACGTGAAGTCGGTCGTTACCAGTCACATTCATCCGTCAAAGAAGTGGTTGGATTGACACTAAAAATAATTAGTGCATTCTAAGTGGAGAAAAAGGTGTAGCTCAGACCTGGTAGGAAGGTATACACTGTGTATTGACAGATTATATCTACGGTTTTAACAAAAGGTGCACTTGAGAATAAAGATGCAATTTTTCATGACAATGAATTTATTCGACTGAGTGAAACATTTTGCTCTGTCATTTACATTATAGGAGTTCTTAGAATGAATATTCATAACTTCGCAAATTTTGTCGACCACTTAAGGTAATCATAAGGCAAGTTTGTAGTATGCATAATAGACCATGGATAAAACATCTGTGACCAAGTCGGTATTCATCATGAAATGATATTGGCTGGAGGAACTTTGGAAACCTGGGAGGACTGGCAAGGCTGTTTTGTCCTAGAACCGGAGTCCTCCGTAGTGCACACCCATGACCCCCTTCACACCTTCAAATTGAATTGATCTAGTTCTCATTGGTGACTAGCTTTGAGAGGTGAATCGTGAAGTTTCAATGAGCAGTAGTGACTTGGGGGGGGAGCAAACCTGGTAAACGCGGGGACCAGTACTCAACGAATATATTGGGTGATGATCACGCTAATTCGTGGACTGACAGAAGTTGAAAATAAGAACCACTGCATTCTAACACAGTGGCTCATTGGTAACGTGTTAGCCATAGAATCTGAAGGTCCCGGGTTCGGTCCCTGGTGGGCTTCTGTCACACTGTTTGGTCGTGGTCATCACCAGGTACCATTAAGTGTCTGTATAATCTTGGGGATCTGATTTTCTTCAAACATTGCAACCTAACAATAGCCATTGATAGCTGGAAGAATTACGATTCATTTTCCATTTTTTAACATGTTCTTCAAAAGGATTTTAAGACTAAAGCAAAACCGAGGTGTGGCAATAGTTGGTATGCTAAACACGTCTAGGTTTTAACCATCTCTGTTTTCTTCTTCAGCGGTCTGTAGATTACTAGATTAGTTAAGTAATAACTCAAATTGAGACTGTTTATCATTTTTGCTGATAATTTTTTTGAGGATAAAAATGTGATAGTTCAGAGAAGTTAGTCTAACTGAAATCTTAATAATTTATTTATGAATTTATCTGGCTTATCTGTAAAGTCGCCTTGAATATGCTTTGTAATTAGGGTGTTGAAAAAATTTATTGGAAAAGATGATAAAATGAACTTTAATGCATCTGTGGGACTAATTTCTACGTAGTAATATCTAAACAATAGAAAGAAATACAATAATAGTAGGAAACAATTTGAGTGGTCAAATTTGGATGATAGGGGATTAGCTGGGAGTTATTAAGACTTCAAGATAGCTTGCATGATGTGTTTTGCTTAAGTAAGCTTATAAAATTAATCAACAGACAGTCGATGAAGTAAAGATCTGAACTTCATATAAACAGCCAGTGACCTAGTCAGAGGATGAACAGACTCCCAAATCTTAATCCATAAACACTGTTTGATTACAAATGTTGCTGCAGATATATCTCATTATTAGCCAGTGTTTAAAGTTGAGGTACTTGAACACATTGAGCGGTTTCAGAGATAATGAAAATTCTGATAGATTTATGGTAATGACTTATTGATATATGTATATCGCATCTTAATGTTTATCTTCCTGTTGGTGAGTGAATCTCTGTAAAGCAGTATTCTTTGCAAAATCAACTGTAACTAACTACTATGTTCGTTATTGAATAGAGAAAGTGAACTTTAGGAAGAAAGAAAGATATAGTCCCACATGACAGCTGGAAAAAAATAAAATAGTATACAACTGTAATCAGATAACAATTAAAAACAAAAGTAATTCATTTATTACCTTGTTCATTATCATTCTCAGTTTATATTATACCTAAAGGCAGAAATCAGGTCTCCTAATCATTCAAGTAGTACTTTAAATGTGGCGCTATGATTCAAAATTAATCGGTTGATGTGAAAACCTTTGATTACAAAAATATCACAGACGAAGAGTTCTTTGTCTGCGCTATGTAGTTAATTTTATTTGCTCTTATATATCATCGATTTTAAAATGCAAATCTTCCAATATTAATCAGATGGCGTAAAATATTTTTCTATGTTACCTAAACCTTCTCATGATTAGTTGAAACTCAGTTGGGTATGGTAGCTCAGAGGGAAAAAAGCTAGCCGGCATAGGCGAGGCCACTGATCATATTCCTGCTGTGACCTGGATTTTCATGTCATCTTTGGTCACAATCTAGTGTCGATATAGTGCGATCCTCAAAAATAATGTTTTCTTTATGATAAGAAGGTTTGGGATGAGATTGCCACGACTGCGAAATCCATGAAGCATTCGTATTTGCTTTGGATACCGCTTGTGATCACACTTTTTTCGAAGAACGGGACGGACACTAAATAAAATACTACTCATATCTAGACCTGAAGAAAACTGGTTTTCAGGTTTACAAATTAGTCACTATAGAATAATCGATGTAGTAGCATGCTCTCTTCGCTGATTGCTGACCGAAGTTTGTCGATCATGTGTAAAGTATGACTACTAAGCTAAGTAGCAGGACTTTGTGATGGACTTTATTTCAGTTTTTTGATGTTGGATTTCGATCGAAAAAACGCCCTACACCTAGATTTTATACTTGTTGTCATTCATCAGCAAAGTATACCTGCAGGCACGTGAGAATTGGTATTCTGTTAGTGATTCAAACCCGCATCCTTCAGTGTAGAGATTTTAACAAACTCTAGTGATAAAAAGATCTCTGCTGTCTTTGAGAGAATGGCTTGGCAACTTCATACTGCTGTTCACGCTTTAGAACCAATAAAGTGTTTTTCGAAAATGTTTCCAGTATAATGCAAAACATTCAGATGTTTATTTTCCCTTTAAAGGTAACCACCAATTCTACACAAATATTTTTGAATGTGTGTTGTAGCAAAGTAGGGGAAATAGGGAATAAGTAGCTCGTACTAGGCTATGACTTATCAATAATTTGCGCATTGTAATGTCAAAACACCACCCTGATTCTAACTTTCTAATCTCGAAATTCGAAGAAAGGAAAAATAACATTCTTCATTAGGTAGTATCACCTGGATTAAAAACTGGATCCAGTGGCACAACGATTTCTGTTTTGCAAGGCAGTTTTAGCTCCGTTACTATAAAAGGCAAACAATGAAACTTAATATCAACTTCACCCCCGTGACCA